GAAGGAAGGGAGGGAGGGAGGAAGGAAGGGAGGGAGGGAGGAAGGGAGGAAGAAGGAAGGGAGGGAGGAAGGAAGGGAGGAAGGAAGGCCTGGCCAAAGGGGAAAAAAGGACACACAAAATAAAGGGATTATTTGTAAGAAGCCAAGAGGCTGACCTTAATTGCCCCTGCATATACCTATAATATCTCTCTCATGATTGTAAGCCTCACAACAACCACCATTAAGCTAGCAGATAAATGTTTCCTTTTACTGTTCTCCCTACCACTTTCTAAAGGCTGCAGAATTTATATGTCTGTTCCTTTACAATAGATCGTTACCTTCCTGTTGACACTTAAGCATTGATGCCTCTGTATGGAAAACACACAGTGGGATGCCAGTTTTTGGTCTTGCTTCTCTTTGAGGATACTGGCTTCGGCAGAGGCTTGGTTTAATAACAGCGGGGCACATTTAAACTCACATAAATTGGCCTCAATGGATTGGAAGAGAAATGGGCCGGTCTCTGTTCTGAAGCTGCAGCCAAAGTAGCTCAGGAAAAAGCGAGACCGAAGATCCGTACTTTAACTGGGGCTTCACCAAAGCTGAGGGGGATTACGGGGGCTGGTTCTCTGTGGAGATGAAGACATATAACTCTTTTCTCCAAATGTTTGGCTTTCGGTCCAGAGGTCCTTCTTCCTTGCTCAAGGAAGATCCAAGGGTGGGCTTCAAAAAACGTTAGCAAAGGGTTCTCTGCCCGGTTGCTGGGTGGGCGTGGCCATGGTGGGCGTGGCCTAGTCAGCCTCCTGCACCAAGGTGGGGGGGCGCTTTTGCCCTCCCTGGCTCCAGAGGCTTTCCTTGAGCCTCCAGGAGGGCGAAAATGGCCTCCCCAGGCTCCGGAGGTTCTCTGGAAGCAGGAAACGGGCCCATTTTCGGTCTCTTTGAACTTCTGGGAGGCCCGTTTTTCACCCTCCCTGAGCCTCCACGCAGGCCTTGCACTTACCTGCATCCAAAACGGGCCATGTGGGGACACCTGGGAGGGGAGTGGCAGGGTGGGCGGGCCCCAGCCAGGAGTGGGATTTGGGGGTTCTCTGAACTGTGCAGAACCTTAGCTAGGGGCTCTCCCGAACCCCGCCGAACCCCCAGCAGCCCACCCCCGGTAAGATCTAATTAAAAAAAAAAACTTTTGAAAAGACTTTGGGTTGCTAATAGAACATCTCGGATCCAAAGTTCAACTAAACGATCCGAGAATCCTATCTCAGAGAACCTCTGACTCTCTAGAATGATGTTGATGAACTGCATAAATTGTCGGCATCCCTTGTCATCATAATTCATAATTCAGGCAGGGCAAAGGACTCCCAATCCCTGAGCTGTTCCCGGTAAGCTGAGTAAGGCAGATGCCAGCACATTCCCACAATAAAAAGAACAACTATGCGCTATAGATGAGGTCCTTCCCAAGGCTATTAAGGCAATGAGCAACAATCTACTGATCCTGAACAAGGAAAAAAGACTAAAATTTACACCCAGAACTGTAGATCTATGTCAGGGTTCGATTTCTATGTACTGCAGTGATCTATCTTTTCTGTCTATATATGGCTTTATTCAGTGGTGGGATTCAGTTTTCTGTGGGCGTGGCTTGATGGGTGTGGCAGGGGAAAGATACTGCAATAATCCCCATTCCCTCCCCACCCTACTATCCTTCTTTCCAGCTCCATTCTCCTTTGCAGGGCAACTAAAGAAGAGCCAGCCAATCAGCTGGGACTTGGGAGGCAGAGAAGAGATGGGGGCGGGGCCAGTCAGAGGTGGTATTTGCCGGTTCTCCGAACTACTCAAAATTTCCGCTACCGGTTCTCCAGAACCGGTCAGAACTGGTCTGAATACCACCTCTGACTTTATTCTTTTCTGCAATAAAGAGTCTCAGCTTGCTGAGTTGTATTCAGACAGTTCCTGGAGAAGGTGACAAGTAGCCGAAGAACCCGTGTTTACATTGGGGCCTGGGGGAAGCATGGCGTCGAGGGAGAACTTGCCAACCACTGTAAAACGGGTATTGAGCTGATGGAAGCACCAGGCTCTCTTGTACAAAGGCAGCTTCTGATTCCTCCTTCTTTTGTAGGACATCAGTCTGAAGACCTTCAAGAGGCCAGAGTACCCGTCCTCAGCACCGCTATCTGCAACGGCCCTGATTACTACAGCAGTCAGATAAAGCCCAGGATGTTTTGCGCTGGTTTTCCAGGTGGAGGTATAGATGCTTGCCAGGTAGGGTCAGTTTGACATGCTGGCTGGGGAATGCTGGGAATGAAAGTCCTCCCATTTTAAAATGGTCATGGTTAAGGAACACTGCTCTAGAAGTTAGCGTCTTCGGCTTGGTGCCCACTAGACATTGGCAGCATCAATGGGAAACATAGCCAAATATATCTGAAAGACTTCAAGATGGAGAACACAAAGGTAGACGTTAGATTCATCGTAGGACTATTTAGCTGGATGTAGCTTTTTCTTCTTAAATATAAAGCAACTAGCTCAATACCCATGCTTCGCTACGGAGCTACCTGTGGTCGGGCTTAGTTTTTTGGGGAGGAAAATAAGGGGGAAAAATTGTGCCTCTTCCTACCAGCATCCATTGGTATTCATCCGACTAGTGTCCTGTCAGTGTGTGTAAGAGTTGAGGACTGTTTGAAAACTGAAACAGTATTTGCTGTGTGAGCAAGGAGACAGCAAGGAGCCTGGGTGTGGCTTAGCTCAACTGTTCTGTACTAAAGCTGGTTGCTGCTATGAAACTAAAACTGAAAGTGAAACTCCTCTGCTTGTGTTTTACATTTGGAACAGATTTTTTTTCAGGTGGGGAAGGGAAGTAGAACTCCTTAGCATCAGAGCCTGTTAATAATAATAAACGAAATACTAATGCTCTGATGGTCATTTCGAAAAATCCTTTCTTAGTGAGCATCTAGAAGCCTGTTTCTGTCCACCATAATAGCTTTCCTTGACGTCATTCAAGTGTGCTGAATTAAAAACTCCCATTATCCCCAGACAGCAAGCCCTTGTGGGCTTTGAATTCTGGAATAGCAGCGCAGTGAATAGGGAAGTGTTGTGGTTAGCCAGCAGCAGGTGCAGATGGTGGAGGAAAGCAAGGACTTGGAGGAGGGGCCGGGACCATCAGGGAGTGGACTGCTGCCTTCAGAGATGGTGGGGGCTGGCAGCAGTGATGAGGAGGTTCCTGAAGAGCCTGTGCTCAGTGCATGTGAGCGCAGGATGCTTCGTAGGAGGGAACAGCTGAAGCTGCATAGATGACTCGGAAGTAAGGAGGCAATGTAATGGCCCCTCCCTCTAGGGAATATAAGCCTGGTTGCAAGCAATTTTTGCCTTTGCAGAAGGCAAAAAGCATTCAAAGGGTTAAGTGTCATGATAACAGACTTTGATTTCTTTGAAGGTTTTGCTACTTGGATTACTTGACTGCAAGCCATCTGGTAACTACAAAGAGGTGTTTGTAGAATAAAGCCGTGAACGTTTCAGTTTTTGAGTTTAGCTTTGTTTTTGCTCTCAGGGAATTCGGCTGGGTCAGAACAGGAAGTAAGGATGATAACATAAATTGCAGGTTTTCCTTTTAACCTAGGTTTCTTCCTCATGACAGGGGGACAGCGGTGGCCCTTTTATGTGTGAAGACAGCATTTCACAAGTGTTACGTTGGCGGCTGTGCGGCATTGTAAGCTGGGGTACAGGCTGTGCCCTGGCCAATAAGCCTGGAGTCTACACCAAGGTGAATGCTTTTCATGGGTGGATCCACCACACCATGAAGGTAAATTGAATGGGGGAATACGCCAGAGAAGCTGCTGTGGGAATCATGGTTGTGTTCACACAAAATGTTTAATCGACATGCTAAGTTTTGTTTAATTGGCAGGGGCACATTCAATATTGTGTAAAATCAGCCTATTTTGATGGATTTGTTTCTGTGCATGCAAAATGGATTAATTCAATTGCAAGATGAAGTATTTTGTCACACCGCAATCATTAAATGAGGTTGTTTCATCTCCCCCCCAGTGGGATTCCAAGGTAATCTAACCTTCCTTTTGGCTTTTCAAAGCCTCTCTGTGTCCTAACAATGAAACTTTAGGGGAACAATTGTTGAAAATCAGTAACACAAAACACAAAACTTCCAGTTTGAGCTAGGAAGTCACAAAACCTACCTTGTAAGCCCTAAAATAGTAAAAATATAATGAACATTTAATGTACCCAATCCCCAAACCACTTTATTAGAGAAGACACTTCTTCAATAAGGTGGAGAGAACAACAGTCAGAAAGTTTCTTAAATACAAACAGATATTCCAAATATGCTTTTATTCAAAGGGCAACTGGGCTTTCTTTGTTTTTCCTTGAAGAAGTGTTACCTTCTCATCCAAGAAACTTCATAAGTTCAGTTGAACTGAAAAAGCTTCTTGGATGAGAAGCAAAACATCTTCAGGAACAACAAAATTTGGTTGCCTTTTGCAAAAAAAAAGCACCTTTGGGACAACCATGATGTGGATGACTGAAAATCTCCATAGACATTTACAGATATATTTACAAATTTAAACTAATTCACTTGCTTGAATATCATTACTGCTTTTGCTTTAATAAATTTTGTGAAAGACAAGATTGAGGCTGGATAAATAATTTTCAGCTTACACAGCTATCTGGGGTTTGACACTATGTTTACCACAGCCCTAGTCTAATCAAGGGTAGATGGTGGGTCAATCAAATTATTACTCGTACCTTCCCTTATGAACCAGTATTTGACCTCCATTGCTTCAACAGTGATTCTCCATCACTGATCTGAATAATTGGGGAAAGAAGTAGAACATGGACATGGACCAGTTCTTCTTTTAGTTAATTTTCATCAGCAGGATTCCACGAGATGAAAAACCCAGATCAACTTGTGCTCTTTTAATGTGTTGGAATAACATCCCCATGTTGGTTGGAGGTGATGGAAATCAGAAGTCACAATATCTGAAGCCTATCGGGTTGAGGAAGGCTGGAGATGCTTCCTTTACTTTGTCTCTGTTTCTTTTTTTTTGCAGACAAACTCCCACATTAGTGGGTTGGTGATTCAGCAGTGAAATGCATGGAGCTGGCCTCCTCCCTTTCCAGTGAATTGCTGCTTTAAATAGAAGGAGAAGAATCAAGGAAAATGAGGAGGAGGAGAAAAAAAAAGGAACGAACGTACTGATATCTTCGGCCTGGCCAAATGAGCAGAATGGGACAGAAAGGTCCTTGCCAATTGCTGAAGCTATTGTGGCATTCTGGTTGTTTCAGGTTTTTGATAAGATGCTTTTGTTCAATTCTTCATGGACCTTTTGGTCCTTCAGCTGCTCATCTATGGATGAATTGAACAGAATACAGAGTTGGAAGGGATCTTGAAGGTCTGTCTTCTAGTCCTGCTTAAGCAACCCCCGGCTTAAGCAAGAAACCCTATACCATTTCAAACAAATGGTTGTTTGATCTCTTCTTAAAACCTCCAGTGTTGGAACACCCACAACTTCTGGAGAACTAATTGTTCTAACTGTCAGGAAATGTCTCCTTAGTTCTAGGTTGGTTCTCTCCTTGATTAGTTTCCATCCATCTTCTGTGCCCAGCTTTCCAAGGCATTTATAATTAATGAAGAGCTCCTGCTACATAAAATCACATGCACAGCTTTAAAGACTTTCAAAGTTTAATGGATGCACTTGGATTAAAGGGTTATAATAAAAATCCTATCAAAAGTTGAACACTGAACCCCAAATTTGAAATTTGGTTAGCCTTGTGGTTGGCGTTGATTTCACATCTATTCATTTTCATAACAATGTATCCCACCAGACTATTTTATCATTCTTTGATTTTTTGAGCGTTGTTGTCCAAACTTCTTTAGACCAGCCCTTCTCAACCTGATCTTCCTTGATTGTGTGGATTATTGTTTTCATCATTCCTTACCCACAGATGGTAGTTATCTCCTTCAGATGCATGGGAGTAGAAAGATGGCTGGGAAAACTTGCTTTAGGTCATTGGCTTATAGTCCACTGTGTCCATATCGTACAAATGATTTCACACAACTTTCTCTCTGCTCCTCCCTTTCCTGAGAATTTTAACAATGGAAGAGTAGAAGAGCTTCATTCTGCATATATAATGAAATTAACTGAACAAACTCAGAATCTACAGGGATTGGCAGATGGAAAAGAAAACAGGAAGTCTTTATGCTTTATTTTCCAATGGCAAACTTCTGGGAAGACCATGAGAACATAAAAGGGGTTTGGTAAACGTACAATTACAGTAAATGGATTGTGTTTGAGTCCCACTTTGGATTAGAGACAAAAGAAAGTTTATGAACAAAGAGAGAACGACAAGGAAGAGAACTCCTGCCCCAGCTGAATGAAAATATGTGTAGCTCAGGCTTGAATGCTGGAATCCATGGTGCTTTCTGAGCATGTTTTTTTGCCTGCAGATATTTCATTACCCTACTAGGTAACATCTTCAGGGCTATCCGGTATGGGGTTTTCTACCTGTTTATATAAAGTGATATCTTCTATGTATGCTGTTGGACTGACAGACCCCTTGATGGCTCTTTTATATTAATATGTGAGGCAGACTTCTTCAATTGATCTGTTTTGGTTTATATATCACTCTCAAAAATCTCACCCAACCTGGTGTCTTGGCTGGCTAGAATTCTTGGAATTTGCAGTCCATTACATGTAGAAACATCACTTGGGGAAAACTCCCTAGAAGGTTATCTCCTGCCCTATGTTGTCTCCAGTTTAGAGGCTCACTGACAATGGAGTCCGATTGCTTTCATCCATGGGTAGATATCTTAGAAGAAGGCACAGTGATGTACAATTGTATCTTCTTGTACTAATTATTCACAATGGTTTATATATGATCATCTGGGTACAACTGACCTTTCGTTTTCATGAAGAAACTTTCACTTTTTATCTTTGGCTGAGGCCAGTATCTTCCAATACCAGGAAGCATCCAAGAAAGTCCACTTATTAGGTCTTTATACATTGCATATATATATATATGACTATATTGCCTCTCTTCAGTCTTACCTAATCTTGTTCACTCAGATTGCATTTTGCAACTGGACTTTCTTGTTTTTATTTTTCTTTGAAGAAGTTTTGCTTCTCATCCAAGAAGCTTCTTCAGCTCTGACTGGATGGTGGGGATTGGCAGCATTTATATTCCTTGCAACCAGCTTCCATTCCCCACCATCCAACCACAGCTGAAGAAGTTGGAGGGGAAGGGAAACATCTTCAAAGAAAAAAACAAGAAAGGCCGTTGCTTCCTGAAAAAGCGCCCTTGGGACAACCATGACCTGCAGGACTGAGAATCTTCATAGACACTCAGATTGTATACATTTCCATACTTGTAATGATCTCAATAAAATAAACTGGTTTTGATTGTGAACAGTTCTTGAATGTTCGTGTAGATTTCCCTAACAATCCCCACTGAAAATGGGGTTCTCCAAATCAATTTAACTAACACTTATGTCTCATAAGAGGTGTATTTTCCCCCAGTAATAGCTCACCAATATCCTTGCAAGGAAAGACAAACATTTCATGGTTTGAACTGCAGAGGACAGCAAACTGTAAAATGTGCTTCAAATTTCCTGGGTATTTTTAAATTTTTTTTTTTTTACATAGCTGGGTATTTTACACAAACGGTCTTTTATTCTCGGAGCTTTCTTGCCTTTGGAGAATAATTTCTGTTTAGGCAACCATGTCTATTTTAGAGGCTTCCATTCTGGAATGCTCAACACATTGAAATGGTCCAGGACAATCATGGTTGCAGCCTCTAACAGGATCTACATAAATCTGACCTGTCTCGTCAGTCTTTGTTCCCTTGTGTTTAGCTCTCCATAGTTAGCATCCTTCACTAATTTCAGAACAGCTGGAGAGGTCACTGTGTCTGCTCAAGGAGGTAGTTCTGGGGAAACAATATCCTTTTTCTTTCTTTTCTCAGAGTGGCAGGATAATAAGGATTAGCCTGCTCTGCAGCCCCAGAGCATGGGGAAACAATGGCAGTGTTACAGGAGAGAGATTGGACATCCGCTTAAGGGAGAGGAAAAAGAGCACAGAACAGTTAATAACTGGTTAATGGTTAACTGGACTCTTTTTTTTTGCCTCCCAACATTACTTAACTAGCAGGCCAACAATCAAGTAAGCAATACCCTCAATCAAGAAACTGCCAAAGAGCCGTCAGTAAACAGCCCAACCAAAGAATCCCTAAGATGGCTGCCTGCCTACACAGAGAGACAAGCCACCAGAATATAAACTGACAGCAAACCCCATTCCTTACCAGCTCTGATGGTGTTCCCTACGGTAGTTTGGGTCATGAAACACCTGCAAGAAAATAAGCAAGTACAAAGAACGCCAAGGGTCCCTCATTTCAGCCCTGAGCTACAAATATTCTCCTTCATTATTAAAGTGAATTAAGTTAATATGTTGATACTGTCACTACCTAAACCCAGATCACATTTTTCAAATTAGCACAGGGGTGGGCTTCAAAAAAATTTTTATCAATAGGTTCTCTGCCCGGTTGCTGGGTGGGCGTGGCCATGGTGGGCGTGGCCTAGTTGGCCTCCTGCACCACAGCCGGGGAGGTGTTTTTCCCCTCCCCAGGCTCTGGAGGCTTTCCTTGAGTCTTTGGGAGGGTGAAAACGGCCTCCCTGGGCTCCGGAGGCTCTCTGGAAGCCACTTTTCCGGCCTTCCTGACCTTTCAGGAGGCCCGTTCTTCTCCCTCCCTGAGCCTCCATGCAGGCCTTGCACTTACCTGCATCCAAAACGGGCCACGTGGGGACTCCTGGGAGGGGCGGGGCGGGGTGGGTGGGGCCAGCCAGGAGTGGGATTTGGGGGTTCTCTGAACTGCACAGAATCTTAGCTAGGGGCTCTCCCGAACCCCTGCGAGCCCACATCAGCCCACCCCTGGATTAGCATGTTATCAGTTTGCTACATTTCAGCCTGGTTAATTCCTATCCTAACCTGTGTTAGGTTAACAGGCCCTCTTGCTGCATGTAGTACTATTGTAATCTCTAGCCACTGCTATGTTCTTCACAAGACTATTCCATCCTTTGTTCTTTCATGTTGGAGAACAGGCTTAGATTCCAGTTGGTTCCATGGAAGAGATTCTGCAAGCCCTCCTAATCTGACCTATCTTCAGAATAGAAAGAGAATAGAAATGAGGGGTCCTTGGTGCTCTCTGAGCGTGCTTGTTTTCTTGCAGACGTTTCATAACCCTAACTAGGTAACATCATCAGTGATACCGGTAGTAAGCTGTTTTCTGTCAGTTTATTATATTCTGGTGTCTTGCCTGTCTGTGTGAGTGGGGGCGGTCTTTGATTTTAGTAATTCAACTGGCCATTTGGATCAGGAGAACGTTTCACCTTGAACTGCAGATAAACGTTCCCATTTCAACCCTGAGCTACAAATAGGTAAAGGTAAAGGTTCCCCTCACACATGCGTGCTAGTCATTTCCAGCTCTAGGGGGCGGTGCTCATCTCCATTGCAAAGCCAAAGAGCCAGCGCTGTCCGAAGGCGTCTCCGTGGTCATGTGGCCGGCATGACTAAACGCCCGAAGGTGTATGGAATGCTGTTACCTTCCCACCAAAGGTGGTCCCTATTTTTCTACTTGCATTTTTTTACATGCTTTCGAACTGCTAGGTTGGCAGAAGCTGGGACAAGTCATGGGAGCTCACTCTGTTACGCAGTGCTAGGGATTCGAATCATCAAACTGCCAACCTTTCTGATCGACAAGCTGAGTGTCTTAGCCACTGAGCCACTGCGTTCAGTGAGCTACAAATATTTTCCATTATTAGAGAATAGAAAGTCTCATGGAGATAGTCCTCAGTTTACGACCGCAATTGGGATCAGAACATACTTTGCTAACAGCAAGGATGCAGTCATTAATTGCACCCAATTTGACAGCCTTTTTTGGCCATAGTTGTTACACAAATCACTGTACTTGTTAAGTGAATCACATGGTCATTAAGCGAGTCTAGATTCCCCCATTGTCTTTCTTTGTCGTAAGCTGGCTGAGAAAATCACACGGTGGTGATCACACGATCCCAGGATAGTGCAACTATCATAAATACCTGTATTTACTGCCTACCTCTCATCACTGCTGATGCTAATGAAATCCATTATTTTCATTTGCCGTTTGTGATGTTAGGCTTAGCTACAATGTGAAAACCACACAGAATCGTTATACCCTTGTCAAAATGTTTCTAATGATGGCTGGGTTGACAAATGAACCTATTCTTTCCTATGTACGCATTCAGAATTAGTTTTCAATTGCCCTTTCTGGGAAATCATATATAACCCCTCCTGATGTAGAGAAAAATGAGTGTAACGAAGAACAGGGATTTGAGCCCATTCAAGCCCTTACACTGCAGACGACGGATGGGTAAGAGTTTTATGCTGGGCCCAGAATGAAATGGGTGGAAAATTTCTCCCATTTTTGTGTTTTCCTTTCTGCAAGTATTTCTATTCCCCTCCAGTACTTCACTGATCTTTGAATCATGGTTTAGCATGCAAGCTAAAAGAAGAAAGATCCAGATTGAAATTCTCATTTTGTCACCAGGTTCACCAGGTAAGGTTTGCTGGATCGGTCCCTCTCATTTTTTCCCCCCAGCTCTCCTTTTAAAGCAATTATTAGATGGACCAAATCAAAGCGAAATTAACTATTAGATGGATAAAACCAAGAATGACACTGACTGAAAGTGGCGTTTCCCCAATTGTAAATCAGCAGAATGTTAAAATGAAAGAGTTGGTGAAAAAGTTGAATAAACTAATCCACGGGAGCCCCAGATCTCCCTGTTTAGTTTATAAGAGTTTTTAACACTTTGTTCTTTAAATATGAAATAAAAGGTGGGAAGAGGCTGTAGAAACTCTGATGAAAATAGGATTATCAGAAGGAGAAAATGAATTATAACTCATACGAAAAAGGTAAAATAGTAGCATTTTAAAGGCAAAAGAATATTTCTGAATAGTGTATTATGTGAGTTCTTTTTTTTGTGTGCAAGATGCGGAAGGGGTGAACGGATATACATATAAAATGGTAGCTGTTGGAGAAATATTTGCTTTAATTAAATAGACTCTTAGCTAGAAGTAATTATATGCCTCCTCATTCTATGATTAGGTATTCAGATATAAACCCCACAGTGAACAATAAATGTGGGTAGAATTACTGCCAAAAAATGTATTAAGAACAACATTAAGCCAGAAATAAATTTATACATTCTTAGGTTTCCTGCATAATTTCTGATATAAGAATTAAAACAACAGTTGGGAATATGAGATCATACCTTCCCTGGTTGATGAAGTTCCTAGCCCTGGGTGAGTTTGTCCTAAAGTTCTTCTGAGATGCATTTATTCATTAATATGCACAATAAATTTCACAGCATGATTTAGTTTATTGTCCCTATTATTTCCTCGCCTCCAAAACTGCAACTCATTTTGTGATTGTGCTGGAAGCATTCACACAACATCTAGACTCCTTGTGTATCCCTCCTCGTGCTGCAAATTTGCAACTAATTAAATTTAATTCTATTTGATTCTGGATGAGATGGGACGTTTTAGGATTAGAGCTGACCAGCAGCAATTTATAAGAAGGCAGGAGTGATTTCCCAACAGAGAGAGGGGGAATTGCTGACCGAATGGTTTTTTCTTCATTGCTAAGCAGCAACATATAGTATCCAATGAGAAAACTATGATTTAAACTTCCTGCCGTTTTCCAGAATGATGTCAGGGGAAATGTGGGAATTTCAAATGGTATCTTCTATATCTTCTGCCCTGTAACACTCAGATTTCCTAGTTATACTTTGGTGCAGCTGAACTTTCCTTAATTCCTTCTGTTCACTTGCCTTTTTTTCTCTCTTTAAGCATCCCAAGTGTTGTCTTTGGGAAGTGTGCCTGACACAGGTACGTGAATAATATGGTAAAAACTGTAGAATATTCCAGCCAATAGAAGACACGATCACAAACAATTTGATCAGAATGCACCAAGGAAAAAGCCACTGGGGCCAGTTTGATTGAGTGTTTCAAAAAGCAAACAACCTGAAGAAGTCATTTTCCTCAGATATGTGGATTAATCTTAAAAGTCTCAGCAAAGCATCTGGAAAAGGATCTGGCCGAGTAAGGCTGATATCCCCAAGAGCACGAATTCTTCTTCCAAATTAATCCTGAAAGAACCATAGGCATGATATTGGGATGATAGCAAACTTTTTGGCAGCCGCCCAAACTGAATGTGATTCCTTCCTAAGCAGGATTTTTACAGAGTTCTCTTTAACAAGATTTGTTAAAATAAAAAGAGTTGAGCATATAAGAATTCCAGCAAGCATACTCATTTTGAACTAAGAACCTAGGTATTTCAGTCTATATGAAAGCAGAAACATTTTGACTTTCTTTTGCCCAGCCTTAAAGTAAATTTTTTATTGGAAAAACATTTATATAGCCACTCGTGTTATAGCCAACTCTGGGCAGCTCCCAATGGAGGGAAGCTGGCTTTTCTCCCCTCATATAGCAATAGCACTTAGACTTATATACTGCTTCACAGTGCTCTAAGCAGTTTACAGAATCAGCTTTATTACCCCCAACAATCTGGGTTCTCATGTTACCCACTTTGGAAGGATGGAAGGCTGAGTCAACCTTGAGAGTCAAACTGCCAAATTGCAGTCAGCCGGCAGTCAGCAGAAGTAGCCTGCAGTTCTGCACTCTAACCACTGTGCCACCACGGCTCATATAGGCAAATCCACTTGGTCTTTTAGGTTATGGTTGCTCAAAAATCAATCTGAGAACCAACTCGTACTGATATTGTAAACGTTTCCTATTAGATCTTCTATTTACTACCTTAACCTCTTCTCTTTTCTGGGGACCTTTCCAGACCCCCTGCTCTATCCTTATGGTCTCCAGTATCAGGACAGAAGCACCCCCAAGGCAGATGACGGGGCATCTCCTGAGATCTCCATCTCTGAATTCTTCTTCTTTTATGGGCGGAAATATCATTCCCTTTACGTGAGTATTCTCCAGATTTCTCCTACAAAGCCACTCTTCTCTATTTTTCAACCATATCACCAGGGGTCGGGCTGCTGGGGATTCACAGGGGTTCGGGAGAGCCCCTAGCTAAGCTTCTGTGCAGTTTGGAGAACACCCAAATCCCACTCCTGGCTGGCCCCGACCCGCTCCCCCCTCCCAGGAGTCCCCATCTGGCCCGTTTTGGGTGCAGATAAATGCAGGGTGCGTGCGGAGGCTCAGGGAGGGCGAAAAATTGGCCTCCTGGAAGTTTGGGAAGGCTGGAAATGGGCCCGTTTCGGGCTGCCAGAGATCCTCTGGAGCCCGGGGAGGCTGCTTTCGCCCTCCCGGAGGCTCAAAGAAAGCCCCCCCCCAGCTGTGGTGCAGGAGGCTGACTAGGCCACGCCCACCATGGCCACGCCCACCCAGCAACCAGGCAGAGAACCCGTTGCTAAAATGTTTGAAGCCCACCCCTGCCTACCACAGGCTTCTACTTTCATCCCTCCAGGTGAACAACAATGGGGTGGTGTCCTTTGGCAACCCTGTCAGTCAGTTCACCCCAGATCCTTTTCCTCTGATGGATGGCCGAACCTTTGTGGCTCCTTTTTGGGCTGATGTGGACAACCGTATCACAGGAGACGTATACTACAGGCAGAGCCAAGACCAGGGGCTGCTGCAGAGAGTCACGGCTGATATAAACGCTTACTTTCCACATGAAAATTTCACAGCTACCTGGGCCTTTGTGGCTACCTGGGACCAAGTGGCTTTCTATGGATCCTTGTCCACCAAGGTAGGCTGGTTCAACTGACCTTGAATGAGGGCCCTTTCACCACCCCCAAAAAAGTTTTGCTGGACACCTCCTGCCACAAGAACATCTATTTCAATACAGTGCAGTGAGCATGCCATTTTTCTGGTTTAACATTTTTATTGAGTGATAAAATATTATATGATGCAAAGTACAAAAGTAAATGGGATATCAGTGTGGAGGAAGAGGGAGAAGAGAAGTGAAGAAGGATAAGAAAGAAAAAAAAGAAGCATTGACTTCCGACTCTTTCTGTTGCAGTAAAACAAGGCGTTAACATCAAATCATAACATGCATGTACAATTAATTGCATATATTTCTAATGTGAAAGGGCCAGTAGGGTGTAGTGGTTAAAGGCACCCGAAAAGAAACTGGGAAATTTTGAGTGCTAGTTCTGTGTTAGGCATGAAGCCAGCTGGCTTACCTTGAGCCGGTCACCTCTCAGCCCTAAGGAGGCAGCAATGGCAAACCATTTTTTTAAAAAAGAAGTGTTTTCGAGAGAACTGCAGAAGCAATGAACACAGGCCAAGAGATTGACTTGAAAGCACCAATTAATAAATGATATAATGCAGGGGCTCCCCAAACTTGGCAACTTTAAGACTTGTGGACTTCAACTCCCAGAATTCCTGAGCTAACATGACTGGAGGAGGAATTCTGGGAGTTGAAGTCCACAATTCTTAAAGTTGCCAAGTTTGGAGACCTCTGATAATGTAATCATTTCTTTACAGGTGAACACATTTCAGGCTGTTTTAACGTCTGACGGTAAAATGTCTTTTGTGATGCTGAATTACCAGGATATACAGTGGATATCAGGGCAAGCAAGTGGTGGAGATGCTCACACAGGTTTAGAGGGCACACCTGCCCAGGTAAGTCTCTCCTAAAGACACATGTTTCCCAGCTTTTCCCAGCCTGGACCCCCAGGATTTCCCAAAGACCTTACCCAAGGTCTTTGTTGAAAACGCCATAGATATTATGAGAAAATATTGGGACTGGGGACTAGACTGGGGACCCAAAAATCACCCTGGGAAGAAGGCAACAGGAAACCTTGGCATATTGTTCTCAAGGAAATTACATGGATGCAATTTTCTGTCAAAGAAAATACATTATTAATTTATTATTATTGTTGCTGTTGTTATTTTAATTTTTAAATACTCTGTAGTGTGATTGGGATGTGGTGTTTGGGGCACTGTGCTGGAGTAGCTTTCAAATTTCATTGTATTCGTGGAATGCAATGACAATAAAGGTGTTCTATTCTATTCTACATATAAACACCTGGAGGCAAGTATGATAGAAAAGTTTTCCATCCACCCAGTTTATTTGCATGCCTATTTTATGGCCAGTAGCATAAAGTTTGGATCTTGGGAATTGAAGGCCAAGATCTATAATCCAGCAGACGCCTCCTTGGCCTAAATAACCTCCCATCTTTTTTGGGTAATGCTTTTCCCTATTTCTTACTTACAGGCTGGATTTAATACTGGTGATGCCGACAATTACTTCAATATTCCTGGTTCTTGGACTCCAAGCATAATAAACATCAGCTCAACAAGCAATGTCGTGGACCCCGGGCGCTGGGCATTTGAAGTGGACGTTTTTGCAGTGCCCAATGGCTGTGTGTACAAAGGTACATTGAATGCTACCCAGTGAGATCATCAGAAAAACAACAACCCATAAAGGATTCAGCCAGAAATCCATTATTCCAGTGATAGATAGTCATGTTCTTCTCATAAATTTAACCAGATGTCAACAACAATGTCCCCTTGTTTGCACCAGGTGGTTGCTTTTAATGACTACCTGTACATAAACCTTCCATCAAATTATGATGGCTAGTCAATATGTCCATGAAAGTGTTTTATTTATCCCAAGAACTAGATGTAGAATATACATCTGTTTATGTTTTTATTTTATTTAGTAAGATGTTCAGCAAGTCTTTAGGCATAAAAGTGGCATATCATCATAAATACAAATAAAATTAATATTGAGGTAGTACAAGAGCTTCATAGTACTTAATATGGAATGAATATTTATGTTCTGTGTATCTCCTACATGTTCAGACACAGGCCCTTGTGGTCCCTGAATATCTTTGCATATTAATCTAAGTTCATTGTAACCACAATTGTATTAACCTCCCCCTGTATATATGCCACGACTACCTCCGTATGATACAATTCCTCCAAGAGGAGTAATCTTTATTACATTAAGACGTGGCTTTTGAAATATGAACCACATGTCTTCCTAAACTGCCATTGGGACAGCTCCAAGCACATTACCAGAACGCTTAGAATAAGCACATTTACAGCCCTCCCAATTCAAACTGTGATCCATGGATAAACTGCCATCTTTACTCTCTATCTATATATATATATAAAAGCGAAAGACTGCTCACGCATCATCACGAAATAATAAGCTATCAGAGGCATGAATTTCCAAGGCTTTCCAAATATTTGTGATGCGTCTTTTGTCTTCACAGCTAACTTTTTACCTCTCAATGCCATCTTCTGGAGTGAATCAACCTGTGAGGAGAAGTGCCAGTGCATGTTGGACACTCATACAGTGCTATGCCAGGCTGAGGGCTGCTCTGCAGATGAGTCCTGCCAGCCAGTTTCCTGGTACCACTTGTGCCAGCCTATCCAAAGTGCATCCTGCCAGGTCTTAGGTGGACAACATTATACCACCTTTGATGGCCAACTGTACCATTTTCAAGGTGATTGCACTTATGTGTTGTCTCAGGTATGTGCACCCTCGCACAACAAAAGTCTGACGTACTACCAGTTGGAAGCCAAGGTACAAGGATCAGCCTTAGATGCACCGCACATAGAATATTTGCGCATGATAGTCTATGGGCAGGACATTGTTTTAATGACCAACTCAACTGGGCATGTCATGGTAAGTCATCTGAATTAGTGTTCCCAATTCAGCACATGGCTTAATTCTTCCCCACCTTCTTTGCCCTTCGTTTGCTATTTCCTCTTACTTTCTTCTTCAGATTCAACTCATTTTCCTTCACTGTTGTGTCCTTTAAGGAGATTTGCAGATTAACAGACTTGGAAGGGACTTTGTAGGTCATCTAGTCCAACATCCCCACCCAAGCAGGAGACCCTACACTGTTTCTGACAGATGGCAGTCTAGAACATGGATAGACATTGTTTAGGGATGATTTTATTTGGTTCAGTTTAATTCATTAGTAGGACTTTGACTCATGGACCTAAATGGACCTTCCCAACTTTCAGAGTCTACAAATTTTAATTTTCAACCCTAGATCAGCGGCCCCCAATCTTTTGGGCACTAGTGATCAGTTGTGTGGAGAAAACTTTGTTTGTTTGTTTGTTGTCAAGTGTACATAAAAGAAAAGATATATTCATCAAGAGTCAAGAATCATCAGGTACAACACTTAATAATAATCATAGAGTACAATAAGCAATCAAATCATACTAGCAAACAGTCAATATAAACCGTAAGGATTCAAGTGACAAAGTTACAGTCATACAGTCACAAGTGGGAGGGGATGAGTGATAAGGAGTGATGAGAAGATTAATGGTAATAGTAGTACAGGCTTTGTAATAGTTGGACAGTGTTGAGGGAATTATTTGTTTAGCGGAGTGATGGCATTCGGGAAAAACTCCTTGTGTCTAGTTGTTCTGGTGTGCAGTGCTCTATAGCGTCGTTTTGAGGGAAGGAGTTGAAACAGTTTATGTCCGGGATGTGAGGGATCTGTAAATATTTTCACAATAACAATAACATATTATTATTATTATTATTATTATTATTATTATTATTATTATTATTATTATTATTATTA